AAAAACCCGAGGAAATTCGGATTGTGGGAGTCTCATAGCTGAAGTGAAACATAAAAAGGATAAATACATTTTCATAATATGTTAACAAAGTGTTGTTTCGTTACTTTATGAATTTTAATAGTTCTATCACTCTACATTCGGTTGTTTATTCTATAATACAAAGGACCACCCTCCTTCCGCTTCACGGGTGTAGATAATTACGATCAATTGTATAATGCATGAAATGAGGGCATATAATATCATGGGAGACCCGTATGATATCAATGGTAAACATTAATCCCAAATGATACAGCTAGATTCTCTGTAATAGACCAATTTATCTGAACCCACGTTACTCACCATGTAATCCGCACATGTTGAAAACTCTCCTATAGTAGGAAACCATGAATCAGTGCGTGCCTGGCCTTCGTTTGCGCAGCATTGTGGGAAGGCCGGGAAACAGGCTATAATATCTCTTGAATTTTAATAATTATATATTATTTTTTTATTAAAATAGATAGATATTGAAAAGATCTTTACAAAGACACAAGAAAAACTATTTATATTAATAAATTACGGCCACAGTAAACCGGAGATACCCTGAAGTAACAAAATCGGAGAATAATAAGTATTTAGATACTATGTAGCTGAGGCAATTTTAGAAGATATTAATATATCTAATGTCAGATATTTTACAGTAAATTTATGTTCTTTAATTTAAAACTAAAAAAAAATAAATTATTACACGAGGAAATTTATTATTAATGACAAAAATATAACCCACCCCCCCTTTTTTTTTCAAAATATTGACTCGCTCTAATTCCTTAAGTATTTGAGATAGAGCTTCGGCAATATTTTCATTTAAAAGAGCATCAAATTCTAAGTCGGAATAGACTTTTATTTTAATTTTATACCTTTAAAGGAAGAGGAAAAAGGATATTAATTTTTTTTGAATAATTAATTATAGAGAAATAAAAGGAGGGGGTATGGTTGCAGGGTTCCGCTTCCTGTGGCTTTAAAAATGCCGCTATCAACACATTTTTTATCAATAATTGTTGCTGAATAATTATTCCACAAAATAAAAATATATTTGAAAAGTTTTAGAAGCACTCCTCAGCGAGAAAGTAGGTTTTATTTAATTAAATTAAGAAAATTCGTTAATCGCGCTCTAGCGGATGATACGGCGGGTTCGGTTTTTCGCTCCTAGGACCTATACGGAATGAGATAGAGATGTGGAAATAATTCTATCGTAAAGAGCATTAAATTTCAAGCAGGAATAAATATTTTTTATCTTTATTAACTCGCCTTAGAAGAGCTGACAAGCGAAAGAGCAATAAATGATAATAAAATACGGTAGGGGGTAGGGTTGGTATTTCGGCCACTGGCCTTTATAAAATAGCGGTTTACACACAATTTATATCTCAAAATGTTGCTGAATAATTGTTCTACAAGATAAAAATATATTTCAAAGGTTTCCGAAGTTCTCCTGGTCGAGAAAATAGGTTTTATTTAATTATTTTTGGAATTTCGTAAATCGCGCTCTAACGGATGATACGACGGGTTCGGTTTTTCGCTTCTACGTCCTTAACGGTATAAGATTGAGATGTGAAAATAATTTTATCGTAAAGAGCATTAAATTTCAAGCAGGAATAAATATTTTTTATCTTTATTAAATCGCCTTAAAAGAACTGACAAGCGAAAGAGCAATAAATGATAATAAAATACGGAAAGGGGTAGGGTTGATATTTCGGCCACTGGCCTTTCAAAAATGCCGCTATACACACGATTTATATCTCAAAATGTTGCTGAATAATTGTTCTACAAGATAAAAATATATTTCAAAGGTTTTCAAAGCTCTCCTGGTCGAGAAAATAGGTTTTATTTAATTATTTCTGGAATTTCGTAAATCGGGCTCTAGCGGACGATACGGCGGGTTCGGTTTTTCACTTCTAGGTCCTTAACGGTATAAGATAGAGATGTGAAAATAATTTTATCGTAAAGAGCATTAAAGTTCAAGAAGGAATAAATATACTTAATCTTTATTAGTTCGCCTTAGAAGAACTGACAAGCGAAAGAGCAATAAATGATAATAAAATACGGCAGGGGGTAGGGTTGGTATTTCGGCCACTGGCCTTTAAAAAATGCCGCTATACACACGATTTATATCTCAAAATGTTGCTGAATAATTGTTCTACAAGATGAAAATATAATTTAAAGGTTTCCGAAGCTCTCCTGGTCGAAAAATTACGTTTTATTTAATTATTTAGCTAAATTCGTAAATCGCGCTCTAGCGGAGGCTTATGGGGGTTCGGTTTTTCGCTTCTAGGTCCTATAGGGAATCAGATAGAGATGTGAAAATAATTTTATCGTAAAGAGCATTAAATTTCAAGCAGGAATAAATATTTTTAATCTTTAATAGATCGCCTTAGAAGAACTGACAAGCGAAAGAGCAATGAATGATAATAAAATACGGTAGGGGGTAGGGTTGGTATTTCGGCCACTGGCCTTTTAAAAATGCCGCTATACACACGTTTTATATCTAAAAATGTTGCTGAATAATTGTTCTACAAGATAAAAATATATTTCAAAGGTTTCCGAAGCTCTCCTGGTCGAGAAATTACGTTTTATTTAATTATTTAGCTAAATTCGTAAATCACGCTGTCGCGGAGGCTTATGGGGGTTCGGTTTTTCGCTTCTAGGTCCTATACAGAATCAGACAGAGAGATGTGAAAATAATTATATAGATATACTTTACATATGATGTTCATCTTAAAAAGCAGAAATTGATTATACGAAAGATAATATAAAATCTTTATTTAAAGGGAGGTTTAGACCCTATGAGCATTTTTTAGAGTGTGAAAAAATATTCTAAGTCTAATTTCAGAGTTTTAGGGGCATAAAAATCTTAAAAGATGTCTTATGATAAAAGTGATTACATATTCTTCCTCGTCACATTGAGACAAAGAAAATGATATAAGGCACATTAAGATAGCTCCGCAAATAAAAATTTCATCCCCAAAAAAGGAATTATTTCAATGTGGAAATTAAGGTCACAAGAAGTTCCTTAAAATTAAAAAGGTTTTAGGGGTCAATTTTTTTGTTTGTTATCCTATATATGATGTATATATATCATTTTGTTTGTCTTAGGAGCAAGAAGAATATGTAATCAGATTTTCTGTAGAGTATATAATAAAAATTTCAGCCCTTTAACTCCTTTAATTTGGACTTAGAAAATTTTCAGTGCGCTATTGAAAATGCTTTTTGGGGCTGATTTCTATAATTTTCCAACTATATAGATATACTTTACATATGATGTTCATCTTAAAAAGCAGAAATTGATTATACAAAAGATAATATAAAATCTTTATTTAAAGGGAGGTTTAGACCCTATGAGCATTTTTTAGAGTGTGAAAAAAAATTCTAAGTCCAATTTCAGAGTTTTAGGGGCATAAAAATCTTAAAAGATGTCTGATGATAAAAGTGATTACATATTCTTCCTCGTCACATTGAGACAAAGAAAATGATATAAGGCACATTAAGATAGCTCCGCAAATAAAAATTTGCATCCCCAAAAAGGAATTATTTCAATGTGGAAATTAAGGTCACAAGAAGTTCCTTAAAATAAAAAAGGTTTTAGGGGTCAATTTTTTTGTTTGTTATCCTATATTGATGTTCTATATATCATTTTTTTGTCTTTTGAAGACGAGAAAGAATATGTAATCAGATTTTCTGTAGAGTATATAATAAAAATTTCAGCCCCTTAACTCCTTTAATTTGGACTTAGAAAATTTTCAGTGCGCTATTGAAAATGCTTTTTGGGGCTGATTTCTATAATTTTCCAACTATATAGATATACTTTACATATGATGTTCATCTTTAAAAAGCAGAAATTGATTATACAAAAGATAATATAAAAATCTTTATTTAAAGGGAGGTTTAGACCCTATGAGCATTTTTTAGAGTGTGAAAAAAAATTCTAAGTCCAATTTCAGAGTTTTAGGGGCATAAAAAATCTTAAAAGATGTCTGATTATAAAAGTGATTACATATTCTTCCTCGTCACATTGAGACAAAGAAAATGATATAAGGCACATTAAGATAGCTCCACAAATAAAAATTTCATCCCTAAAAAGGAATTATTTCAATGTGGAAATTAAGGTCACAAGAAGTTCCTTAAAATTAAAAAGGTTTTAGGGGTCAATTTTTTTGTTTGTTATCCTATATTGATGTTCTATATATCATTTTTTTTGTTTTTTAGACGAGAAAGAATATGTAATCAGATTTTCTGTAGAGTATATAATAAAAATTTTGAGCCCCTAAACTCCTTTAATTTGGACTTAGAAAATTTCTTTAAGTCCAAATAACTTTAACTAATTTTTGGTGTTAGATCCGTTATGACGTCATAATCAATTTCAACTTTCTTTTTCCCGTACTTTACGGCTTAAGCAGAATTATGTAGAAAAAAGGGTATTTTTATGACTTGAATTTGAAATCATATGAAAAGTAAACCGGATACCTATATAAAACTTGATATTGATTTAAAGAAGAGGCCACGAACATACTAATTACCACTTTCTGAGAGACAGACTTTAGGCAATCTGGATACATTTACCTTTTGTCGAATATGAAAAAACTCCCATATTAATGACTGGTTTTCTTGATTTTTCGTTGAAAATGACATTTTGAGTAATCCTCGAACAGTAAATCAAAACTTAGAGCGATGCACTATTCTGATGGATATTGCCTTGAGATGTCCACTGTATAGGAGAAATTTTATGCAAACAAATTTCCGTGAACCATTTCTCATTATTGCCTGTGAGTAATACAGTGTCGATTCTCCGGGACTACTTTCGTGCCCTATGAATAACGCCACTGCCACAGGCTTTCCAAACTTTTTCCAAAATCTGGAAAATTGGCTTGCGCGAGTAATTCGGTTTTCAAAAAATTCAAACTGAATGTTGTGTATAAGTTTATTGATTAAAATATGGAAAATAACAATCGTTCTATTTATTTTCTAGAGCGGAAAGTAACGGTTTATTATTTTCAGTCCGATTAAATCCGGATTATTTTTTCAAGCGTAGTTTACACCAAGTTGCAATGGCGGCTTCCATGCGTCATTGGATACGGAGAGAAGTTTCGTGTCTTATGCATGTTATGGCTGTAATTCAACACATTCTGAATGAATTTGATAGAAATACAAGACTGTTGATGCAAGAGAAATGGTATATTTCATGGTTGTGCGAATGGCATCAATAATGATGAGAATATTCGAGAGAAAAAAAAGAGAGACTGAGCTCAATGAAAGCTAAAAATTCTGTGATGGCAGGGCTGAGGAAACATTCATGTGAAAAAAGGTAAAGTTTGAATACTTTATAAGACAAAACAATTTCTGTAAATGAGTAACACATGTCCATCGTTATAATAACCATTTAGACCATGAGTTCTCCCAATTTACAGGTCCAGAAAAATCACAAAATTTAGCTATATACATGTAGCTAAATCTACCTATATACAGCTTTATTTACCTATATAATGTAGATTTTTTTTTAGCTTTTTTGGAGTAAATTTCTGTTTATCAAAAGCAGACAAAAAGACGCAAAATGAAGCAATATTAGTTTTCAACTTTGAAATGGACTGAAAACAAATTATTCACCAAAAACACACTTTTAAAAATGTTATTTACATGTAGGTAAATTAAGCTATATAGGTAAATATATTGATTTTCCTGGACCTGTTTAATGATAGCATAGACCAGAAGAGTTAGAACACATCATTAAAATTAAAAATTAATTATCTCATTCTAGCACGTTAAGTCTTAAAATTATAGAAAATCATTGTTATTATTAAACTAGGTTATACAAATAGACCATATGTGACACATACAACATTGTAGATCTCATGTACATGTATCTATACAAGCTACAAATTTTGAAAATCCACATATTTCCTACTGAGGAATTGAAAATGAAGAATACTATTATAATAGAGAAGTAAATTAAAGTTTGATTTTAACAGGAAAGGGAGAGAACAATAAGGACAACACCAGGATATGACTACAATGTCACCCAAGGCTTAATTCCCAAAATATAGGACTGTGGTGCTTTATCGATACAGCTTTTGGACCACAGTAAGGCACTCATGACTGTGGCAGATACTTCCTGATTATCACATTGAAGGTAAAAAATGCAAATATCATCAGGCCAAAAAAAAAAAAAATAATAGTCTTGTTTCCTGCTACCAGCCTGAAAAAAATAGGGTAGGTAGGTCAGAAAATTGTTTTATTTTTTTATTTACTTTTATTTTTTTACAATGGAATTTGTTGGATATGAACTATTGCAAAACCAAATTAAACATGTCACTGGTCAATATTATTGTTTAAAATAAGTAGTGTTTCATGCAAGTCCATATTTAAAACATGTATATTTCATGAAATACCACTTAAATGTATATTTTTTTCACTTTTGGATCATGAAATTTTTGATTTTCCCTCAAAAACTAAATTAAAACTTTAAGGTCAGGTGCAAAAAAAACAGGGTAGGTCAGGTAGCAGGAAACAAGACTATTTTTATTTTTGGCCTAATCTCCTTCAACACACAAAACAGTATCAACTTTAGGACAGATCAGAAGTGCATGATATTTATAAACAGCAGTATGGCTAGATGTTAATTGTGTAATGTCATGATACACTTGAACTGTATCATGATTCATATCAAAACATGGAAGAAAATTGAGAGGGGGGGGGGGGGTATACTAACAAAAAAAGGTCAAATCCCAATGTTCAATGCCTGCATGTTTTTAATGTCTATTTTTGCAAAAAAAAAAGGGGGGGCTAAGCCCCCCTCCTGTTCCACGCCTATGCAAAATGTCACGAATCAAATTTTTAAAATAAATTTGTCTTTGTTCTGATATATGAAATTCTGAATCTCATTTTTTAAGATTAATAAAATCTAAATTGAGGTTTATTCTATCAGTTCATAAATTATGATGTAACAGTTCTGTATACTGTGCATTTCAATGAATACAACAAAAGTAAAGTGAAAACTATTTAATAAGTTTAAAATTTAAAAAAAATGGCATGCATTTGAATATCCCTACACCAGCCATGCACAGTTTTTTTTAGTATAAAGTAAGCTTGAGTAAATCAGGAAAATGTTACATCATAATGTATTGTATTTGACTTGTTATGCCCCCATACTCTTAAGTTTGGGAGTATATATTTTTTGCCCTGTTTGTCCATCTGTTGGTCTCTCTGTCTGCCTGTTGGTCCACAAAGTCTTTAACGCAGCTCACATTTGGATGTGTGGGTCTATTGCTTTCACATTTCACACTTGTATTCCTTATGTAAAGACCTTTCTGCAGGTACAACCAAATTTAACCTTGACCTTTGGATTTTGACTTGCATTTGAAAAACTTCTATCTTTGCCATAAGCTGCCATGCAGGGCATCAATGTTTCGTAAATGTCTTGTTTTCTGATATCATTCATAATATCATGATGTAGTTTTGTAACCATGCAACTACATGAGCATGACATTGTGTTTATTATCTAATTTGTTGGAATGCCTTACATTTACGTACATGTATCTGTTATTCATAAATTTAGATGTATAAATGACTGTTTTTTTTATATGTGTGTATAAGTAAACAGACAGTGTGAGAAGTTTGCATTTATCACATTTAATTTTTTTTTCAGACTGATTTTTGAAGGACCTTTCTACCTACACAGAAATGTAACATCACTGTTTCAATCACTCAGCACCCTACCATCAAAGTGGATATGGTCTTCAAAGACAAAAACAGTGGATATGATCTTCAGAGACAAAATGAGCCCCCAAAAGAAGTCACTCTTGTTTAACTGGGATAATTTTTTCACATGTATCATAATGATTGTTTTACACATACATATTTTTAAGTAGAAGTAACAGTTATTCAACATATTTTTTCTTTTAATTTGAATACATGTAGAGGCAAATGATAAAATGACCACATCAGAGTTTCATTGTGTTGTTATATTTATGTATGATACTATCAATCATAACAAGTTTGATACTGGAAATTCAGGAAAAACACCCTAAATGTGTATATATCTATTTTGCAATGTTTTTCATAAGTATTGTACAAGTCATTTGCTGCCATACAGAGATTATGTATTTTACTTTTAAATGTCATAAAGATTCAACTTGAGATAAATTTCTGTTCTTTACTGAATCAAATTGAATGTGGAAAAAAATACAAAGATACAGAAAAAACCCTCACCTTCTTTTAGTTGTGGACAATGTCGACATGAGCAAATTTGTGCTGCTCCCTGTTATATTGAGTTAAATTGATTGTACTTTATTACTTTTAAACTTTTAATTACAATAAGCCCTTACTATTTTTTTTAAATTACTTGAAACAGTTGAGTTTTTAGAACAATAATCAGGCATTAAGCAATTTTAAAAGTATGTATGTAAAGGGAGAGGGCATAGCAAGTAAAAATTAAAAAAATACCAAAAACTTTGACAAGCATAAGTCTGATTGGAGACAGACATTGTACATGTATTTTCAACAGAAAAAATGAATACAGTATCATGGAGTGATTCTATTACTGCAGCGGAAAGTGCACGAAGGTGGTGACTGTATTTTATCCAATCGGAGAAAGGTTTTCTACAAACGATGGAGACACTAAAAATGTCCGCATAGGCGGATCCAGTGCCAGCATGCCCCCCCTCCCGTTTGCCTTTTGAAATTTTTCTACATAAAATTATTATGACCATTATCCTAAAATCAAGGAAAAGCATCTCTTATTTATAAGGACTTGTCAGCCCCTCAAAAGGACCATGTATTAGACCCACAGTACAGCCACCAGACCTCCTCTGCCTTATATTGCCCCCCCCCCCCCCTTTACGAAATTCCTGGATCCGCCACTGCTCCGTACGTTGCATATTTTATTTTATGTCAACGTAATGCATCCTACATGGAAATAGCATTTACTGCTTACTGGGACCGACTTTTTGAGAAGTTTTGATAAATCAAGATTTATATAAAATGACGACCGATATAAATGCAGGAACAGAATTTTAATCAATTACGTTGTAGAGGAAGGGGAGGGAGGGGGGTCCGAACATAACCATTTACTGTTGAAATTGTTCACTGAAAGGACACCCCTTGTATCTTGAAGTATACATGTACTAATGCATTCAAACTGGCATGGTTATATTAACGAATTTTGTTTGTGTGAAAAGTTTGAACCAACAAAAATGGTAGTATGTTTGTAGTCATTCTTGAGCTACTTTCTCTCTCTCTCTCTCTCTCTCTCTCTCTTTAGGGGGGGTGGGTAACGTTGTATTGTAAAAAAAAATCTGGCTGCCCGCTTATATTTTATAGCGATATTACGTTCCTGTTTACCGATGCTGATTTTTAATATTTGTTTACTTCCTCAATTATTCCGTTGATATATCACCCCACTTCTAAAAATCGGGCGTATGAAAAACAATCGTCTTTATTCATGTTATTAGATTAAAGAGTGGAGAAAAGGTATGGAAAAGAAAAATAGAACGGTAAAAAAAAAATATTCCTAAGCAGTTTAATCATCGTGTACAGTAATTCTTTACCAATTTCTATGTTCTATAATATAATCGGCGTCAATGTGTAACTTTGAATGTTATTTACCGTAAATAATTATCAGTAAATAAACAGGCTGTTTGCATAAAGCTTGTTATTGTTGATAATGGACCTAATGTTTTTGTTTTTTTTTTTGTCTGAACTAAAATACTAAATGCATTTGATTGAATTTTATACTTAGCTCATAGATAACTCAAGTATTTTTTTTTTTTTTTTAGACATATTGATCATCTCGCGTGCACATGCTTGGTGTATAAACCATGATAATTATTAAACATGATACATTAAATATTTAAATTTAAAAAAAAAGATTGATATTAAAACAGGGGATCGCTCATGCTTGTCTGTATTTTCATGTATCAACAGAATTTTACTCGCATAATCAAATACAATTTTTAGATCTAGCATTCTCTAAATTTTACCGCGCCTTATTTAACTGTGACGTCATGCAGTCAACCCCGGTTGAACGAGGTCATATCAAAAGGCCTGTGGCAGCGATGATATGGAGTTGTAGCGTAACGTAATACATTGTTATGGTCTGCTGGGGTAATAATGTATTGTAAAGCACTTTGAGTAGCATTTATGCTAGAAAGGCGCTATATAAAAACAATCATTATTATTATTATTATTATTATTATTATTTACAAAACCACATTTCAGATCAGAGTGAAATTTAACACACATAGAGTTAAACACATGTTCTATAAAACGCATATGTATTAAAATGTTTTGACCCTTGTTTGTGATGCATATTCTGATAATGACGTCAATATGTAGATCACTTGTGACAAAATATGGTTGACTCAGTCGTATATTCGCGCAACAAACGGCTTTAAAGTTAAACGTATATCTTGGAAATTCAATTGCAGAAGTAGATACTAATTTGTACAAGGTTAATGAGGACATAAGACTTACCATTGGATTGATTGTTTTATTGAAGGAAGGGGGAAATTTAAAAATGATGTTTGCTTTGTTCCCCAGTGAAAACAATCTTGGGAGAGGTTAAGGAATTTGATATGAAATATCGCAAACTTTTGGTTAGAAAAAAAGTTGAATATCTTAACAATAATAGAATTATTAAATCCCTAAAATATCGTTTACTTTTAACTTTAAACATATCATAGTGATAAAATGAAGGCACCCATACTCAACATTAAACAAACGACGCCCCAGAGACAAGGGACTAGGGTTTCGACGGTCACCATCCTCATTATGGAAAAGTACGTATATCATTATCCACCAATACTATTGCCGAGATTTGGCCATTTTTGACAAACGGACTATTTTCTTTTACAAAAAATAACTTGCATGGTAAGAATTATCATAATCGGAAAAAATCTTTAAGCTTCTGTGACTAAAAGCTAAGGAGCAAGTCACGTGACCGCCTATATCATCGATCTGTGCATGGGCATGGAAGAGGACTAATTTTTAAAAATTTCAACGCTGAAACAATATGTCATTTCTATTTTGTTATTCTGTTTTATTATTTAATTTGTTATCGAGCGTTTTCACCACCCGTTGTATAGGTAACTATTATTTGGGATTTTGCAAATTGAGCTGATGCTATTGAATGAAGCTTCTTCAGCCATTGCCCAGAGGTAACTTAAAAGTAAAGTGATTTGGCTGTGTCAAGAGATAATGACGCTAACAGAATGTACCACTATTAAGCATTCTGACAATTTATATTAAGTTTTCAAACTTTGATATGGTTTGTTATGGTTTGTTGTTACAATCATAACAAATTCTAAGAAATATTTTCTGATCACTCCAAATATACAACATTGGACACCAAAATTGCCTTTTTGCTTAAAATCAAATCTCATGTCCCTCTGATTCAGTTTTTTAAAGCAAAAATTGCACTAAGAATCAGGTCAGACGGTGGAAATTTCTTTTAAACTTAACATTAAAGGTGCTTAAACACATATTTAATGTTAACTTTTATGTTGCTTTTCATACGAAAATAAAATCCAAATGTTATTTTTCTGAAAGTTAATAATTGAAAATTCGACGCGTTTGATTGATACATCCTTGCACCTTCACAATTTTTAACTTATTCTTCATACTTACATAACGTACCAGTTTTGTTGTGTATGAATGAAAAATATAAAAAGATTAAAAACACTCATCCAGAAAATTAATAGTAGAAATGTGCGGGGAGAAAAAAAAACCATCACATCAGTTTTGTCAGCCCGTGCTCAGTGGTGTGTGCAGAGTTTAACAATTGAACACACCCGGTGAAACGTAAACATTAACAACAACAGAGCTCGTTTCCTGTTTACGAAATCTGTGTATGTTAATTTCATGGGTGCATTCAATTTGTTAAACTTTGTACACAACATTTAGCACGGGCTTACATTACTAAGGAATGGGTTTGCTTTCGCATTTTCACTCTAAATTTTCAGGATGATAGTTTTAATACAGTGTATTTTTCATTAATACAAAACATTCCGACTCTTTTAACATTTTAAAGCATTAATGATAAAGTAAAAACTTGTGAAAGTGTAAGGATGCATCAATCAAACCCGTT